ATTTCTGGTGAGTGCAGTGCGGCTTTCGCTAGGCGGCAGTGCAGCAGATGCCTGGGTAGTCGACTACTTTGTGGTGTGAAAAATATCTGGCCGCACGGTGGCACGATGAAAAGAAACTGAAAGAGAGCTCAGGACACTTTACTGCGAAAAGTGACCACGATGATGGGCTATGGGAGAGGGCAGACATATACAAGTTGTCTTGAATCCCATCGCAGTCACATCGGTGCTCTTGTCTTTTTGTGCTTTTAGATGTTTGCCTGCAGACTGATGCTGCATAGCCGGCGCACAGTAAGTCAGTCTTGCTAGCGAAAGGCTAGATTTTTGCCTCCAAAACTCAGACGAGCACGTTAGTTTTGTCAACAGAAAGCCAGGCCTTTGCTTGCAAACACCAGACGAACACATTTTCCCGTGCATCATTGGTTTTTATCGGCTCCTTCCTCCCATTCCATGTGACGGGGAATTGACCAGTCAAATCAGTGAAAAAGTGGCGTTGTTCATTACGTGGCTCGAGTGAAGAGCAATACCTCTCCCTCTTTTGCCTCCGCTACCCTTCCGAGATCAAGACTACAGTCTCATCCATCTGCGTCTTCGAATTCGTCACGCGTTCGCGAGACAGGGTCAGTCCAAACCTTCTCCTTTCGTCACCCCCCCCCCCCCAACGTCACCATTCTTGTCGACTGCAATAGCATTCGCAGATCGGTAGACTCCCCACCGCGAAGCAAAATTACTCGTCTCAGCTGATTTAGGCTTTATGCTACAGCCAATGTGCGTTCGCCTCCGTGATCTTCAGTAGGACCATTGCCTTAGAGACTATCACATCCCCGCATCAACGAGCATCCAAGCCCATCCACCTGCCAAGATGGCTTCCACGGACCCATTGCGCGAGTTCCTTCCTCAGACCGATGACGACTCCGTCAAGAGCCTGGAGGCAGCATTGGAGTCATACATTGGGAAATCAGCTTGCCATGGACGCGTCCCTGGCAGCATTTCTTCGGCCTCTGAAGATGGAAGAACAGTGGTGGTGTCATATCTGGACCAGACAGACATCAAGTATCGGGTCTGCTTGTGAGTGGCGAGCCTAAGAGCCAGGTGTGTCAGCCAACTCCACACCATGTTGTTACGACATACAATGCCTTCTATAACGGAATGGCTACTATGTACTACTGGATTGCCAATCGAGAGATGGTTTGTTACGTAGGTATCGTCTTTTGGCCGGCTCACCTGATTTGTAGCAATGCTCAAGTTCGTCTCACCTCCGAAGACACGTATCCGTGAGGAGATCTGCTCCCGCCTCGCAGTCTCAGTTCTCGGTCTACTGGAGAAGGGGCGCGGCTTCCTCCAGGATCCGTTCAGCGTTCCCTGATTTGTTGAAAACGATATTGAGAACGAGGGAGGTCTTCGGCATAGCGGGGATTTTGGGGGATCAATGCGTTGCATACGTAACCACTCTTTCGCCTGATAGCACTGGCTTGGAGTGATGGCCCAGCTATATACGGCTTCACTGGTTGTCTAGATTCGTTCTAAACAATTCTAATCTTGTGGTGCTTTTCTATACGATATAGTGTGGCGTCGTAAGGCGCTGTCTCACTTAGGCTGTTATCAGTACGAGGTCCGCTGGAAGGCAAAATGTATGTCTTTTGAAGCACGAGGCCAGAGGGAGGGCTCGCGATGTCTTATGTCGAAGAAAACTTGTCAGCATATAAGCTTGTCTATATGCTTAGGATATGCTTAGGATATGCTGCTCCCTGAATGGGTGAAAGATGACAAGGCATACTAGCCACTACTAGTATATTACGAAAGAAGTACCTCAGTGTGAGTCGAGGTAGCTGGTGGGTTTCTGGAATTATGTTCCCACACTGGACTCATACATCTGCTGCAAGTAAGGTTCTTTCCGTCCACCACGTCTCTCACCTCGATTGGATTGTTATTTATATTCTAACACAACAGCCCTCCGTTTTGAGTGTTAATGCAGAAAATTGTCGTATATGGGTCTTAGAATGTACTGAATAATGGGTCACAGGGGATAGTAAAACTTTTGCTCCCAGCTGCTGATCCAATGACGTTCTCTGTCCCCATGATGAAGCTCTTGGTATAGACCCCCCATGGCCAGTCGTTCAGCCTCCTCTCTCAGTAATCGGCGCCTTTCTTCCAGGTAGTTCTTCAGCCACGAAGATCCATCGTGTTCCTCGCCCAGCAGAGTGTCTCGGCCCAGTCAGCCAGTGCCGGACTGCCTTCCTCGGGCCAACCTGAATGGCTATAGGGCGGTAACAACAGTTCCAAATCACGGATTTCCTGGAGCATCAGAGGCGGAACAACTTTTCGAAGGAATACACTTGCGGCGAGCCGATACTTGGCGATCGCACTTCTGCCCTCGCCTGCGTTTCGGGGTATAGATGCAGTAGATTCGGGTGTCTTGTAAGGGATCTCGCCCCGGTAGTCATGCGCATCAAAGCGATTACCAGAGAAAAGGACCACCTGAGCGTCATTGAACAGAGTGAGACAGACCTGTCGCATCCAGAGTTAACTGTCAAATTCCACACTCCTTCCATACGCCGCCATTTTGTGAACAAGTAACTGCGGGAATCACTCACCAGAAACAAGGCGGACAGCGGCACCCAACAATTACAAGTTGACGAAGCGGCCGAGTGTCTGACGCGACAAAAGCACCATATGGTTGACGGCTGCTGCTGCTCAGTGGCCTCCCAGCAATTGAAGACATGGCAGCCATGGTGCATGGTTGAACTGCATCGCATCCCATCCGTATCCTTGCAGCCCGGATGAAGAGCCACGTATTTGGCCCCGTTGCTTGCGTAGCGGCTCCAGTCGACTTCTTTCCAGGGCGCAATGAGGTCTGTATATTCCAAAATTCGGAAGCGCAGCTCGCGGGGCAGGGCAAGCAGACGACTCTCAACCTGAAGTTCAGAGCGGGATGTCTTCTTTCTTTGCACCAGTGCCGTCGCGCCTGAGATGCTTGCTGGGCTTGGAGACTTGGAAATGCGTCGCGCTGTATCGTGTGCGATTTGGTAGAGGTGTGAAAATCCTGGATAGCCGGATATGGTAATTCCTTAAAGCCGGCAAGAGACTTATCGGCTCGACTGCGGACGAAGGCGAGCGTTGCACAATTTAGGGTCAAAGGCTCGGTGATCTGTATGCCCATCGCCGTGATTTCGAACTTGCTCATCGTCACAAATTTTTATACAGTTTTCATTCCACATCTTGGGGCCCTTATGGTGGCACGAGGCTTGGCTGAGGACAATCTTGAGGCATGTAAGCTTGGAAAGCGATGATGGCCTTATATTCCGCAGCGGTGCAAGGGATTGCTTCTACCAGTAACGTATGATAAATTTGTTGAGGCCGTAAAGCAAGGCAGATATCTCCGTTTATACCGTCCGGCAGAAAAGGAGCAGGCCGTAGAAGCCAAATTTCTCTTCAGGGAAATAGCCGAGGCCCGAAGGTACAGGAGTGCCTCCGTTCAAGTTCGGTACGGCATACCTCTGGTCTTCATATCGTGCGAGCACTTCAGTGTGCAGGTAGATACGGTGTCGAACATGGGTAGGGAGAAGGAGAATTGGTGCGACGGCAGTCTCCGTGTTCTCTGTGTCCTCAGTGCGTTGACCTGTACCGGAAAAACATGATTTCGAGGTCGAAGTGGAAGATTGTATGTTGGTGAGGTTCGAGACAGGCCAAGCTTGCCCTGAATGTCTGAGAAATGCTGCGTTGAGTAAGGGACTCATGTTGTGGGTCTGTGTATAGGCACCAGTGCCGTAGCAAGCAGTCGTAAATTAATCGTCCAAAATATGCGCCATTTGCCAGTCTTTGAGATCAAAGCTGCCATCTTTAACTCATGCATGACTCCAGCCCACTCAGAGGTTGCGCCGGATCGCTGAGCCCCTCCCTCAAGACGTATGTTGCACTTATGCTCTTAATAATTGTTGATCTCGTAGTCGCCCAATTTGTGCTTATGTTCTCATGCCCTTGACCACGTTTCCAGCGGGCCCAGCTATTAATGCTGGGTACGGTCCCTAGATCTGGAAATAAGACCCAATGACTTCAGCCGGCATTAAGTCTCTCAGTCAATCCTTGAGGCAAAGAATATGCTGCAACTGTAATGAGTCCGTTAGTGAACCATAAAAAAAGTACCACTCCTTGTGCTTACGTTGCTCCCAGTCATTAATGCCCTCCTGAACAGCGACTGCTCGCCGGTCCCAATCTGCATCCGAGTCTTGTCCGTACATTTCAGCAGTTATGAGCTTGCGCTGAATCAGCGAAAACAGAAGGTTCTGAGTTAGGTGGCCAATTTTTCTAGCATGACTGTTCATATGCTGCTCAAAACTCGGCCCTTGTAATTCAATGAGCTCTACAAATACCCTTCTTGACTGTTGTATCTTAGGCCGTATTATTACACACAATACTGCAGTCACAGCCACATTTGAAAAATTTAGGAACATTATTTTGAAGCTCTTATATCTTACTTACCTCCCACTTTGTTATTCTATAGGAAATGGCTTTCCTATAAGAGGCTAGGAGGCAGGAGGTTAACAGGCAGGAGGTAAGAGTTAGAATATAGGGGGCTGCGTAGAGCCAGGATATCAAGGAGTAAAGACTTAGGATTTCATTCTCTCAGTGGTTATTCTATAAGAAGTTAGGCAGTAAGTGCTACCTAAGTAGTGTTGATATAGATACTATAGCTGTAGCTGTATAGTAGATAGTTAAGTAAAGCTTGTAAAATGTAGGTAAATAACTAAAATTAAATAATAACCCTAAGTTATCCTTAAATTTAAAATAAGTATAAGGATATTTTAAACTTCTAAGGCTAGAGTAATGCTAGTTTGTTGTGTTAGAATATGTAGATGTCTGGTATGGTGGGAGAAATAGAGGTAAGCACTTGAGATGACGGATAGTGAAAACGGAGGGAGCGTATGCTTTATTAGGTATATAAATGTAAAATACGGGAATGATTCCACCGATCCACCAGCTACCTCGGTTCACACCGAGATACTTCTTTCGTAGTATAGTGGTTAGTATGCAAGCTTGTCATCGCCATCCAGGAAGCAGCAACGCTTGAGACCCGGGTTCAATTCCCGGCGAGAGAGAAGATGCATAATGTTTTTTTGTACTTTTTGGGCTTGCATTATCAAACTCAGCCTACTGAATTCACCCAGAGATGTGAGTGTGCTGTTTGGTTGATTTGATTTGATTTTCTTTTTTGCTCTACTCTATAAGAAGACCAGGCTAAGCTTAGAGGATGTTGGAGTTTCTTTTAGACTAAAATGTCTTTGCCTTAAATGTTTTCTACTAAGTTTAGTAATGTTAGTATGTTATTCTGGGTCTTGGAAGGGTAGTAGTAGCTTTTGAAATCTGAAGTAGGCTGGCTAGGGGAGACATAGGGTGATGGCTAAGTAGTGATTTAGTAACAATGTGTAGAATTTATATATTACTAGAGGGTTTAAAACGAAAAGAAATGCTAGAAACAGCACTGTGGAATATGCCGTTACGGGGCAGGTGTTATTATTTAGTAAGGGTTGAGGAGAATGTAGAAGTAGTCTATGGAGGCAAAGCTCGGCCAGAGCTGCGCAGCAATTGTAGATACGGTATAAGAAGTTCTTGTCAACAAGCGACCACATCTTCCTAGGCCGTACTCAGATATCATGTTACAATTGTTCCCTTTGACTTCTAGATCCAACCAGGTCTTGTCGGTTCTGGGCCCAGGTCGGCCTTTCCATCATATGGAGCATAGATGCACTTTTCGAAGGCCTTTGTGCAGCGCTCGCAGCTCGGCCTCTGCTTGTTGCAGCGGACCTTCAGCTGGGTGCATCTATCACAAATGGAGCGGAGCTTCTGACGTCTCTGTTCCATCGCAGGCTTCGCTGGGGATTGGGTTCCCGCCGCGGCCATGTCCCTTTCTAGCACTTGCTCTCTCTATTCCTCCTTTCATTATTTTCCTTTTTTCTTAAAAGAAAAATAAAGTCCGGATGCCTCCACGCCGCGTAGAGACATCGAAGCGCGTATGAATGCAAGCCCAAAGACGGCTTGACTGGGCGTAACATTCAAAGTAAGGAGGTGGATGACGCTCTGGAGGGTGCGCCTCGAACTCGGAAACGAGAAAGCGGCATGGCCTAGCTCTTTGATCTGCATATCGCCCATGTCACATCACAGAGCCAACAGCATGCTGCCTGGCAGTTGGTCGCAGTCATCAAAGAGCCAACTGCAGCTTGAGCCTGCTTGAATGGTACTTGTTGGTTGAAATTGATTCGCGAACTAAACATTTGCCCTGCCAAGCAAGTGGCGTTGCTGCCCTCAGTAGTCCGCTTCCTTCGAAGCCACTGGGCGGTGGACCACGAATCGAAGTAGTTGCCAACTCATTCACCTCCAGAAACGGGCGGATTTTGTGGACTCAAGTATTGGGTCGGCATCCGGCCTCGGATTGGCCCAAGGCGTACATATGAGGCTCCATACCGTTTAAAATATCTGCCTGGCAATGCTGCTCAGACGTCTTCAGTCTCTGCTGTACATGGTAAGCAGGACTTTGTGCCCCCGCCCTCTCTGGGCTGCTGTGCCGCCCTCGGGGTGCCTAATCGCGGTGTTGGTACGGCCCTGATACCGTAGGTCAGAGGGTCTTTACACGTATAAATAGGCGAGCAAAAGCCGTACTTTTGTGGGTATAGGTTCGATTCTTGCTACGGAAGAAAGAAAGGAAGCCATCGCCACCATAGGCGCCGAAGCACTTGGTATAATAGCCAGCCCTTCTGCTAACTAAGCCAGACCGGCCCTTCTAATTGGCCACAGCCGGGCCGGGCGTGCGGCCCCTTAAACGGCCCTCAAACCCACACGCGGGAACCGTGTTCTCCAGCGTCATCTACGTCCATCTATGGCGACCTTGAGCAGATCTTGTCCCCCCCCCCCAATCCGAGGTCGTCCTCGCCAGTGACACCAACCACACCAGCGCTCTCGATATTACGCAGTGTTGGAACGCATTCCATGCGCCAAGCTATGTAGTACATGCAAAGCCGGCAAGCAATGAAGATGTTAAGAAAATTGTCTATTATCAGCTCCCTCATCCAGGACCCCAGTTCGTTTGCTTATGCCTTTGCTTTTAGATCGACTACGCTTCCAAGCATGGTATTCCCTTCCTTGCAAGCGGTGGCGGTAACGGATATACCAACACGACAGGCGCTCTAAAAGGGGCCATCGGAATCGATCTCGGCTTCTTCCGAGACGTCTATATCAACGCGCAAGATAATCGACTGACTGTCGGCGGCGGCGTCAATTTTGATGACATTTTCGAGCCTGTGTATGCCGTAGGAAAGGATATTCGTGAGTAGCGTCTGTGCAACACCTTCTCACTCATGTCACTGACCTCATCTCGCACAGAGACTGGTTCCTGCTCCTGCGTCGGGGTGGTCGGTGCCGCCCTTGGCGGTGGGATCGGGCCGTACCAAGGAGCTCATGGATTACTGCTCGATGACTTGAAGTCGGCCACTATCGTGACCGGATCTGGAGAAATTGTGACTGCCTCAGAAGAGGAGAATGGTGATTTGTTCTGGGGTCTCCGAGGCGCCGGCCAGATCTTCGGCATCGTGACTTCAGCCACGTTCTAGATCCACGACCAAACCAACAACGGCATGGCACTGAACGGTGACTTCGTTTATCCAGCTTCCTCCAAGAAGGCAATGTTTGACCTGGTCGAGTCTTTGAATGAGAACAAGCCCGCCGAGCTTTCTCTATTCGGAATTATCATGTTCGACATGCAGACGCAGCAAACGGTGCTGATGATGTCGGCTATCTACGTAGGGCCAGAGGAGGACGGTATGGTGTACATGCAACCCTTCATTGGCCAAAATCCGCTGCGACAGAGCTTGGGTGTGCTACCTTGGAACAGGCTGATCAAAGACAACCGCTTCGGGGTCGACGTTATGGCTTGCATCAAGGGCGGCAGCCACTCGGTCATGGGGATGAACTTGTACAAGTTCGATGCCGCTACTTATGTCGGGCTTGTCGACAAGTTTGACAAATTTTATGCTCAGAACCCGGACCTCACTGTATCCATCCTCGTCCTGGAGCTATCCCCCAACACCGTCACCAGAAGCGTGCCGGACGAGGCTACCGCCTACCCGTAGCGCGACGCGCTGGGATACTTGTAAGACACCTTTGCCCGGTATCATCGCCAGCGACAGCACTGTGCTGATAGTGAAGACGGCTAACAAACATAAAATAAACAGATTCTTATCCTTTCTCTTCCCTGACGCGGCTTCTGCGGCTATGGCAGAAGAGTTCGGGTTGGAGACGCGCAAGGAGCTGGTCGCCACGGGAAGCAGAAAAGGGACGCTCGAGGTGTACGTCAATTATGCTCACAGTGACGAGGGTGAGGTGGCCTGGTACTCAGATCGCAAGCTTCCTAGATTACAAGCCTTGAAAGCCAGGTGGGATCCGAAGCAGCTGTTCCACTGGACAAATGGAATCTCCCACGATGGAGCCTAGAGATTGAATGGATAACTCATGGTCATTCTATGCGCTTAGGTCGCCGTAGTGCAACCATAACAGGGGTTGTACCTGTGTTCTTTTTGTTTACATAGGTGTAGCTGTATAATAGACCTGGTAACCATGTTGCCCCTTTGGTTGCGTTTGTTTCCCAAGGACCATTTTAGCTGTTGATTTGCTCGCTGAATCTGCATAAGTGTCTAAATCAAAGAACTCGGCTGGTTCTCTAGTAGGGTGAGTGAGTGCGTTACGTAGATTGCGGCCTTTGCAGTCAGTTTACCATTAAGCACAGAATTATTGGATGCCTGAGACTTGCTACAGTATAGTGTTTTCCATTTCCGTTTGAGTAGCTTGATATGATAGTTCGACCACCTCAAACGAGGGCTACCGCTATATAATGTAGCGTCATAGCCTTTTTGTGCTGTCATTCGCCAGGAGCTGGCCCGGCCTACCTTGAGAAGGCAAGCTTCCTACTAGTAGTACAGGATACCCTAGGGTAATCTCCTGTTGAATGACCTACAGGATGACCTCCTACAGGATAACCGGGCAGAAGGTAAGCAAGCCACAGGGGCTTCGCAATGACATTGTGAAATGTTTGAGCATGTTGCTATGTTATGAGAATGGTATAGATGACTTTGAATGCGCAAGGAAACGGAAAGGGTCATCAGCTGGAGCATGGGAAGCACTGTCAGAGGAGGCAAAAGTGTTGTTTAAAACGGTGGTATTTTTCCTCGCTAAATCAGTCCCAAGCATTACATAGGCCATGCTGAAAACAAGGAACGACACGGCTTCCAATTGATATACTCAAGCGGTTTTATCATACGAGCACCCTCTTCAAGACACTGCGGCGATCGCTGGGAGTCTAAATTCAACTTTGTTGTAGGGTTTGATACCAAACCACCCTCTAATCGAATTTTTCAAGCAAATGTGGCCATCACCCATCCGGGTGATTGATCATTAATATGGGGCTCAACTATTACTACAAATGCAGCCCAGTTAGCCCGCAAAAGTCTAGTGATTGTGGCACGCTCAGGGAGTGTCAATTATGCTCCACTGTGGGTGTGGCTGTAGGTTGTGAAGCATGTGTAAGCTTGCAGTGTAAAATACGTCCACTGTAAATTGGATCCCGATGCAGTTAACTCTCAAGAATCAAAGAGTTAAAAATCGTGAACTTAAAACGTTGAACTCGGTGATGGACTGCCACTAAATTAGCACCAGCCTGAGACACCTGGAGAATCACGGTGCTTGGTCCGCCTCAAGCTTAATTTGATGTGACCCACCAACGTTGCCGTGAATCCGCCGTGAACACAGCACTTGCCAGGCCAAATTTCATCGTCCTTCACAAAATGGTAAACACCGGCAGGCCGTCTGGCCGATGTCTGCCTTGTAAGGAGGATAAGACCAAGGTATGGCTCTTCCTCCTGACAACATGCACCGCCGGCCTGTTCATCCACCAGATCCGCGCGCTGATGCCCAATGCACGATGCCCAGTGTGACCTCAAGAAGCCCTTCTGTGGACGCTGCACGCGTCTCCGTAAGACCTGCGGCGGTTACCCAGACCAATGGCATCTTGTTCATCGCCAGCAGGACCAGACAGCCGCCCACCGGGTACAGT